CGTTCTCTCTCTCTCTCTCTCCTCCCTCTCTCTCTTTCTCTCCCACTCACTCACTCACTCACTCTCACTCTCTCCCTGTTACTCACACTCTCACTCGCAAATTCTCTCTCTCTCTCTCGTGTACGAGCGTGTAAGTCAGTACTATGTAGTAAGTCAACGTACCCTATTGATGTGCATGTGTGCGTGTATGCGCGTCTGTGTATCTGGGTATACGAACTGTGGTCAGCGTATCTGAGTACAGTCGCGTAATCAAACTGACGAAATTGAGTCGATGACATGTGACTTTGTAACGATAAGATGACGCTAAATGAATGGAAAAGTCATCGCGTTCCGAATTCCGCCGATTTTCCGCGCAAACGTTGTCTGCAAGCAGTCTTACGGGTACGAACGATAAGTTAGAATCGGCATTTGGTATGTCGTTTAACGAGGCTTTGCATTAGTAACGCACGTTTGAAGACTGGATGTCTTATTTTCGAGCGAGATGACGTATATTTTTGCAAAGTGTTGGAACCGCGCTATTTACACGAATGAGTAAGAGACATGTAGGAGGGACCTTGATATCTCGCGATACAAGTATAAGCTGTGGGGCCCGTCGACGCTGTCATCCGACAACGTCATTGAATAAATATTTTTCCCCGCGAGAAGAGAAACCTCGCTCGAAAGTATTGTCCGGCGTCTGTCGGCTTGCAAGTGAATGACCCTATTTATCGGTGCGTTATGTATTTTTATCGCGGTCGCCTCGCCCTAGTTATTTATCGCTGCTCTCCTCGCAGTGGATACGGAGAGTCGCGAGACAGTCCCGTCCGTTTCTCTTCGCGGAAAGCGGAAGATAATAGAAAAAGACACGTATGTATGCGCACATAATGCATGCGTGTAGAGAACGGAGGTGAAAAAAATATTGTTTCACCTCCGAGAGTCGCGAATGTAGAATTCAGAGTGAATTCCAATTGAATATGTAGCTTCTCACCTGTAACTCATTGACGAGCTTCTCCGTGAGAGTGGCGTCGTGGGAGTCCTGACTGGTCGCCCCTGGACTCAGCATGGAGTTCTGTGAATTCTGCTGTTGAGTGCCCGACATGTTCATACCGGCGAGACCACCGTTCTGCGCGATGGTGCCAGCCATGTTGAGCGCCTGCTGTTGCAGATTCTGGGTGAGATTTTGCGCCTGCTGTAGATTCTGCGTGAGATTTTGCGCCTGCTGTTGTAACGCTTGCTGATTAAGCGCTTGGCCAAGGTTCTGCGTGAGGTTCTGCGCTTGCTGCTGCAGCGTCTGGGACAAATTCTGCGCTTGACTTTGGATGTTCTGTTGCAGGCTCTGACTCGCTTGGCTTAAATTTTGCGGCTGATTAAGCAACTGCTGCTGTTGTTGCGGCGACAGACTCGGCGTTAAACTCTGCGCCAAATTATGCTGTAGGGTTTGTCCGAGATTTTGCTGCATGTTTTGCGTGAGCGCTTGCGTCAGCGCTTGGCCCAGGTTCTGATTGAGGGCCTGAGCCGCCTGGACGGCCTGGACCGCCAACGATGGACTTGACGCCTGCGACATCGTTTGTTGCGCCTGGGCCAGGCTGTGCAGACTCTGGGCCATACTGGAGGCAATGGCGCCCTGATGATCCGCCTGTGGTGACGGCGTCGTCGGTGCCGGGGAAGACTGATGCTGTGGGCCCTGATTAGCCTGGTTCATCGACAACGCATGCTGCTGCTGTTGTTGCTGCATCTGTTGTTGAGGACTAGCTGTTTGGCCGAGTGTCGCGTTCGCGTTTTGCTGTACTTGCGAAACCGCAGTCTGCTGCTGTTGTTGCTGCTGCTGCTGCTGTTGCTGCTGCTGCTGCTGCTGTCCGAGCGGACTGTGCATCTGCTGGACCTGCTGTTGATGCTGTGTCGAATTCGAGATGGGGCTATGCTGTATCCCGGGTGAATGTTGAGGCGGACCACGCTGCGGCTGCTGCCAGTAATCCGACATCTTAAATACGTGTTGGCGTAGCGCGTGGAGGTTCGCGGCTGCCGCGGTGACAGCCGAGGCTTGGATCTCCATGGGTTCGGAATCGTTTTCAAGGTCGGGCTCCGGCGAACTGCAAGGATCCTCGTCCTCCTCCTCGTCCTCCCGCTCGGTGATGTCCTCGTCCTCCTCGTCGTGAATTCTTGTGGACCGATCCGGCTCGGGTCCGGGCGGTCCTCCGCCAGCAACAACAGCAACACCACCGGCGCTTCCGCCGCCGCCGCCGCCACTTCCTCCACCGCCACCTCCGCCGCCGCCGCCGCCGCCACCTCCTCCACCGCCGCCTCCTCCTCCACCTCCTATCCCACCCCCCGAATCGCCAGAGTGGAGATGATTCCCCGGGTGATGCTGATGATGATGCTGCTGTGGTAGGTGATGGTGAGGACGCGACTCTGGATTTTGGTTGTGCTGCTGCTGCTGCGGATGCTGCGGCTGCTGCTGCTGTTGTGGCTGCTGCTGCTGCTGCTGCTGCTGCTGTTGCGGCGGTTGCTGTTGCTGATGGTGATGCTGCGGCTGCTGGTGGTCTAGCTGGCCGAAGTCTGGTTGGGCTTGCGTCTGGGCACGCAGGTCCAGGGCCGCCGTCGCGTCCGAAATTTTGAGGCCTTCGCGAGAAGCCCGGGCTACCCCCTTCCGGCGCAGCTTGCCCGCTTTTTCGCACCCCTTCCGGTAAGCAGCTCGACGGCCGGCACACCTCTGCGCTCGCCGCCGTTCCTTCCTACCTTTCCCCTCGCTCGGCCGCTGTTTTCAGCCTTGGGATCGTCGTAACGATAACGATCCTTGCGCCGTGCCGAGCTTCGACGTGGGCGGCGGGCAACGTCAGTTACTCGCCACCTGCTGCGACTTCCCAGCCCTGCTACCTACCGCCTGGCTCATGAAACTTCCTCTTATGATTTCTCCACTCCCTCTTCCGGGTCCTCTCCCAGATCTCTTCTTCTCTATCGCGCCTATTCCCTAAGTCGTTGCTGTCGCGCTGTTGGTTGCGATGCCTCTCGCGAGAACACCGCCGATCGGTGATTGTACGTCCGTAATGCGTCCTTTATTTCGTGATGTCTTCTTCTACGTACGCAGGTGGCTGTTGTATCGCGTACGTTGTATGCGTTCGTTCGCGTTTCGCAGTTCAGTTGATGGTCCTTTTCTTTCTTTTTCTTATTTTTCTCCCCCTCCTCTGTGCGTCATATGACTGTGTGTAATAAATGTATGTGTGTGTATGCGTGTGTATGCGTGTGTGCGTGTGAGATGTGAGCTTGCTATATGTGTGCTTTGCGTGAGTTGTTGCGCGCGCGAGCGAACGTTCTCCAGCAAATAGGAGAACGGTCTATTTTCCTTCGTCTATCTAACTTAAATTCTAGCGTACACTTAAGTTCAGGTTAAAATTCAGGATTGCCCAGCCCGGACGGTGTAAACGAGAAGGATAGTCCACGCGGACGCGAATCGTTTATATCGGTCGGAAAAGCCTTCCACTTCTCTTCGGGGTGAGAAATCACACTCGCGGATGATTACTGCTCGTCCCGTTTTGCCCTGAGTATTTTAGCCCCGTTATGTTGGATGTGCGTGCGTGTTGTGTGTGCGTGCGTGTGTGTGCGTGTGCTCGAACGCGCTCGAACAGGCTCGAAAAGTTGGTGTCTGCTGTGTCGCGCGCGTGTCGGCTTGAATCGGTGAGTCCGTGTGATTTCTTTTAAGCGGGACGAGAGCGTTTCTCTCCGGGATTTCCGTCACTCCGTTTCTGATTCTCTGCCTACTTCCTCCGATCGTCTTCTTCTTTTAAGCTGCTGCGTCGCGTCCGTCGATGACTCCTCCTCGAAATGCGACTCTAGCGTTTTAACTCTTTAAAAGGAATTCTATTCGATTATCGATCACCGCTCGTCGTTACCGATATCGTCGATGGTAGTTGTGGTTGCTTCTTATTATCGTTTAGGTTTAATTAATATTGCACTTAGGTACACTCGTTTTTTGAACACACTGAAATATATATGTATGAGCGCGGGGTTTTCTGTCGAGCTTTTTTTCGATTCTTGCTTTCTCTCTCTCTCTCTCTCTCTCTCTCTCTCTCACTCTATTTCTTTCGATCTTTGTCTCTCTGCGCTTCCGTAGCTCTATTCTCCCGATCTTTCTGTCCTCTATCTCCTCGCTTCCTCGCTATCTTCGGGTACGCACGATCAACTCGCTAATCACTTTCTTCTTGGCAACCCCGCTTCTACTCGTTCGGCTCTCGGTCTTACGCTCTTCTGCTCCTCTGCTTCTGCTTTGCTCGTCTTATTCTGCTTCTTCCGCTTTGTCCAGTCTTCCTCTCCTGCGCGGGAATCTCTCGCTGCAACGCGTCTCCCGCTCGAAGCTGCAATCCAGAAAAAGAAAATACAATTTTTGCGTTGTCCGACGTCACGCACGGCGAACATTCAACGTCAACACTATAATTTTTTCAATGTCATAGGCAACCGTTTCACACGTCTTTGCTCGTGTAGATCGATAGAGTATATTTAAACGTCAATCGGACGTACATTTTTCAAAGTATTCGATCGAAGATTGTCACGATTCACTGTGACTTTTGATAATATTAATTACAAGATCCGATTATAAATCCAATAATATTAAGATGTAAAATATCTTAACTAATTCCCGGTACGTGAGCGTAACGTTATTTAAAACATTGATTTTTGCTAGATGACACTGCCTAAAATCAGCTGTCGTAACACGAAAATATCGAGTGCCGAGTAATGGGACGTAAATCGAGTTAGAAGAATCCTAATAAAATTTCACGATATCAGAAAGATATCAGCCGCGAGATTTTATCATCTTATAGCGAGGTTTAAATGCGTTAAATGCGATTCTCTTTCGGCTGACGTTTATGAAGGGTTTACACTTTCGGTCGCGACACAAACAATAATTTCAACCAGCACTGTCAGAAGCACGCACTAATTACGCGGCATAGTAAATTTCGTCCATTTGACACATCCAGTTTTCATGTCGATAATTTAACGTTACACAAATTCGTACGCCCTCTCCTTTCGGTTACACCGAGTGTCGTTGACGCGGAATTTCCAATTAGTTTTGCATTTGAGAAAAATCAATCGATTTGCAAGCGCGAAAGCAAAAAGCGCGAACGTCTTTTGCCGTCGCGTGGTGCTCAGCACTGACAATGCGGAAAAGATGCGGGATACGTAATGTAAAAATTCAGGATCGGTGAGACGGAGAACTGAAAAGGTTTATAACTGAAAGAGAGTAACGTGTCGATAAATCAAATATATTTATTCAAATAAAAGTAATGCTAATATCACAATGAGCAATAAATCAGAGTACAGTGAATAGGATAAAAATAAAATGTTCCGGAGCACTGAATATTCTCGGGGAAAAAGTAAAGTTGTGATTTACATTACTGTAACATCACTGCGCGAACAACGCGATGTAACATTATGACATTGCCGCTCACAGATAGAATTGCGTTCGCGATCCTTTTTTTATTTTATTTCACAAGTTTTTGCTTCTTCAAAAGTTAAATTGAGAATTTATATTTTTGCCATTTTTCTTATTTCCCGAGTATTATATCGTTACTTTTCCGATTAATTTCGAATATGCAGTTAGATTTTTTCGTAAAGATTGCCTGTCACCGAAGCGATGAAACGACGCGCTGACGATGATGTCAATGAAATGCCAAATAATTTGTTGCAACGTGTGCCAGGTTTACGCGACGTGACGAGCATTGTCGGCTGCTCGCTGAATTAACGGCCCGAAATGATCACGCGCGCGGATATTCGCATAATTGCTAACTCGTTTACTTGCGACATGACGATTCGTTACGTTTATTGTTCGCCGTGTAATTCCGCGACCGCAAGCATCAAGCTAATGATTCGCGTGACCGATTTCGACGAGGCCGCATTCGGAGATAGCGGCGATCGAGCTTCCTCTTTCCCTAGCCCGCCTTCTCATCGTTCGCTTCCTCCACGATCTTACCGTAGCACATCGTATCACGCCGGAAATCGAGAGGGGATCGGAGCGTGTGCGATCGCGACGAAACACTGTCGAGACGGCGACGATGACGTACCGGGCATGTCAGGATTCGGAACAGGGAATAGGAGGGGGTGGGTCAGTATGGTGGTCTCGGACCGAAAGTGGGGAAAACTGACTAAAAAAAATCGTACGAAAGTAGAAAAAGAAGAAAATAACAAAAGCGTTGACGATTGGTTCTATCCTATATTAATCAGGCCTAGATCAGGCACGATGTCGCAAAGTGTCGTTACGTTCACAAGACTCACGAACTCGCGACACAAGATTGGTTGTCGAACAACAGAATATTCCCCGAGAGAAAGAATCCGAAGGATCTCTTACTGGAGAGAGAGATATTCAAGTGACCGAATGATAGCTGCGGGTAGATGCGGCGGCTGGTGATAGTCGGTAGTGTACGCGTAATACGTTGCACCTCGGTCCGGCTGCTCGCGCGACCTTCGTGCACGGTATCGGCCAAGACACTGTTCTTCCTCTTCGAAGGACGACGACGGTAACGACAACGACGACGAAGACGACGATGACTACGACGACGACGACGTACGACGGGGGGGAAAAAGCTCTCTCCTCTTCCGCGTTCGAGTCCTTGACGGAGGAGGAACCGAAACTGACTCGGGTCTGCGGCTCGCGAGAAACGCTAAGTCCTTCTCCGTCGGGGGTCGGTGGTGGCGCGCTTCTCAGACCGCGTGCGTCTGACTAAAAGCCACCCCCTCGTGCCTTAAAGAACGCGTGTTCGGGTAGGGGCGTTGTCTTAGGTGGTGCGCGGCCGCGAAATTTCTGGCCACCTCGGGGCGCCTTCGTCGTACGCCGTTTCTTATCGCGGCGATTTCGTACGCGGGTCCGACGGGCCCGGGCGCGGGCCCAGGTTACCGTGGACCGACTCGTGACCCCGGCCGCGTCCACCCACGACGAAAATCTACCTCCGGGAGGACGAAAAACTGAGGCCGTCGTAGGACAGGAGTTTTCAAGCTACCCCTCTTTTCCTTTGCCCCCACCAGACACGACGCCGAGGCGCGCGCTCTATCTCCCCCTTTTCCTCAAACTCTCCTCGCCCTTCACCC